GCCCCCGCGCCGCCCCGCCGCCGGGAACACCCCCGCCGCCCGCCGCCTGCGGCTCCCGCCGCGCCTCGGAGCCGCCGAGCGGGTGAGCAGCGGGGGGCACGGGCACCGAGCGGAGCGGAGAGGAGAGGAGCGGAGAGGAGCGAGTGTGCGGGGCGGCCGTGCCCGCCGAGGGCGTGTGCAAGGGCCGCGCGGGCCGGTGTGCAAGGCGCGTGCACGTGCGCGGGGGGCCCCAGGGACGCGTGCGGGGGCTGGGAGTGCGTGAATGTGGGAATGTGCGAGTGTGCCCGGGAGAGCGTGCGTGTGTGTGACTGTGTGCCTGTGCGTGTGAGTGACACTGTGTGCAAGTGACAATGTGTGTGAGTGACACTGTGTGCAAGTGACAGTGTGTGTGAGTGACAATGTGTGTGCATCGCTGTGTGATTGTGTGTGACAGCGTGTGTGTGATGTGTGTGCATCGCTGTGTGCGTGTGACAGTGTGTGAGTGACAGTGTGTGTGCATCGCTGTGTGATTGTGTGTGTGAGTGACAATGCGTGTGCATCACTGTGATTGTGTGACTGTGTGTGTGACAGCGTGTGAGTGACAATGTGTGTCCATCACTCTGTGTGCACCTGGGTGTGCCTGTGTGACTGAGCAGATGGGTGTGCCTGTGTGTGTGCTGGTGTAAGTGTGCATGTGTGTGTGTGTGCATGTCTGTGCGTGTGTGTGCATGTGTGTGTGTGTGTGTGTGTGAGGGGTGCAGGCACACCGGGGCCATTCCCACAGCCTGTTCCCAGGCGAGTGTTTGCCGCCCAGGGCGTGAACACCCCGTGACCTCTCTGCGTGTGTTTACATGTGCCGGCTGTGCGTACACCAGGCCGAGGGTGCGGAGGCACCCGCGGTGCTCGGGCGGGCGTCACAGGCTGCTCACAGGCAGGCGTGTCAGTGCCCGCTGGGGACTCGGACATGCGTGTGTGCGGCGTGTCCCACGGCTGTGACATGCCCCAGACACCGGCGCGGTGCCCACGGGTTGTGTGTCCCAGACATGTGCCACAACGGATCTGTGGGTGCCCAGGCAGCCCCTGGCTTGGTGTGCAGGGAGGGTCGGGGTCCCAGGGGCTTTTGGGTCATCCCTTGGGCCCAAGTGCCTGCTCCAACTGGGCCTGCAGCTGCCTGGGGGGCTGGCACCCCCTCTGACCCCAAGGAGCACCAGGGCAAGTGTGCCACAGGACCAAGGGTGCCATAGGGCTGAGGAGGCCAGTGCTGGTTTGGGCTCTGTGGAGTCAGGACTGGCTGAGAAGGGGGCACCCATCCCTGAGCCCGGCCCCTCCATTCCTGCAGTCCGGGGAGCTGACATGCCTGTGCTCCGAGCCCACCACCTCGCTGTCCCCCAGGGGTGCTCACTGGCTGGGGCTCCTGCTGGCTCTTCCCTGCCCTGTGCCAGGGCTGCCCAGCAAGGAGCGGGGGCCTTGCAGCACCCCGTGTGTCCTGCAGCTGCCCAGGCAGGCAGTGCGGGGTGCGGGCAGCGTGGGGTGTGGGCAGGGCACAGGTGGGCTGTGGGGACAGCCTGTTGTCTTCAGAACTGACTCTGCCATCGTGCGGGAGTGATGGGAGCAGTGAGACAGCTGTGTGCTGTGGGCTACCCAGTGCCCCGGGTGCAGGTGCCCTGCCAGGGCGAAGGGGATGCTGTGGGGCTGGCTGTGTGCCAGGGGGTCCTGGCAGTAGGGTCTGAGCTCACGGTGGGCCGGAGAGGTGGGGGGCAGCCCAGCTTGGCCCCGTGGGAGGCGCTGGGCTCAGGCAGGGTGTCACAGCGGGTGCACGTGGAACGGGGGATGCCCCGGGGCCCCGTGGGGAGCCCTGTCAGCTGTCGGGCCAGAGGTTTCCCAGGACGCAGCACAGTGCTCCGGCTGCGGCCGGTATCCCCGCTCCGGTGACACCCGCAGCCTCCGGGCGGCCGGCGCGGAGCAGCTGGAGCATCTGTGTGGCTGTGCAGGGCCAGCACTGCAGGTGTGCATGCACGCCTGCTCACTCGCTGTGCGTGTGTGCTCGGAGCAGGGACTGCCGGCTGCTGTCTGGCAGCTCCCAGCAGCCAGCCGAGCCGGGGGCGAGCCTGTGAGCCCGGGAAGGTGGGGAGAGCCCGGTGTGGGCAGCGTGCCAGCCGGGTCCCGGTCCCTGAGCAGGGGCTGCGCAGGGGCAGGCTGCGGAGTGGGAGCTCGTGGGCAGCAGCAGCAGCAGCAGCAGCAGCGGCAGTGAGGCACACACAGCCCATCCCGCTCTGCAGCAGCAGCAGCAGCAGCAGCAGCAGCGGCGGCAGTGAGGCACACACAGCCCGTCCCGCTCTCTGCAGGCAGCAGCAGCAGTGCCCGATTCCCAGGCACCCACTG